TACACAGTCTTACTCCAAAATACCTTTTTAAACAGCACTTACCATAATTCTGACATTTAAGTTAACATCCCCTTTCCTGGTTTGCTGCCAGATGACTCATCTTAAAGCTACGTACATTTTTTCAAAAGGTGTAACAACATTACTTGTGCTAAGCAGTAAGCAACGTACAATAAGGCTAGTAGGCCAACACACCATAGATAAAAACACTTCACGCAGTATCCTCCTGCTCAAGACAGCTGCAGAAAGTCCAGCTTATTGATCTAAATTACAACACTAACAATGATGCTCCTACCCTGCAGAGGTTCTCATATACCAGAAAGTTAATACAAACTTTCGTCATGACTGGGTTTCATTAGCAAGCTTTCCTTCCAAATACCACAAGGCTCTATGAAGTGCCGCTATTCCTGCATTAAATCCATTTTAAAAAATATTGACCTAGTCTGACATTTTGGGGGAAAAGTACAGAGGCCAGTCATCTTGTTGAGGTATAGATTGAAGTTTCCTGCTAACAACTAGACTACGTTATGCTTTTGAATGAGCACAACGAGAACAATTTCCTAGAAGTCTTGGAACAGGGAGTTCACGCTGGCAAGGGAACCTGCCATAGCCCTGTAAGATATCTTTAACAGCACAGGGACAAGAATATAGTTCATTTGGCTAACACGCTCAGATTAAGAGCGTTTCTCTACTGTCAATTATGATGTCTTTTACAATGAAAAACCTGCTTGTCATACTGCCAAGAGTCAATGAATACCCATTTCTTGAAAGGCAGAACATATAAACTGTGTGTATTTTCAATAAGGAGGTCTTAGAGCTAAGGAGTATTCCAGAAGCTCTGCCATTAGAATGACTAGCTGAATAAAAACATGCCAAAAATCAGCAAATTAGCTATGCAGAATATTGCATTTCCTGGTGAAGGACTAACTCATAGAAACGCATTGACCAGGGAATAAGAAATATGCCAGATAAAACACTGCATTATTAAGCTGAAAATCCATCACTTCTTATTCATCAAAAGAGGTCAGTGTCTCCAAGCAATAAAAGCAGATGAGAAAAACTCCTGGATTTCACGCTCTCGAGGCAGTAACCAACCTGCTGTGGTAGCCTGCTCTGATATTCTTCTAGCAATCCATATTCTGCAGACCCAAGCACACAAGCTAGCAAATGCACCAATTCTACAAGCTCTCCTATCCCATTTGTGGATGGGAAAAGATCTTGCACAATCACTTCTAGCACAAAGAGATAGAATTCCATCCTGACTAGGGCATTGCTATTGATAATGTAAGTATCTGTTTCACTTGGCTCCCTGAACAACCATTTTGCATTTCTAATGCCAAAGTGCATTTCCTACTCTATATAGAAAGTGACTGTCACAGTGAAAAATCTCTTTCTGCATGTTGGTTCTTTCATTCAAACAGAACACCTGATCAGTAATGGAATAATCCGTTTCTTATTTAAGAAACATCTCTATAAAGTTTATAACGAAGAGTCAAGCACGCATGTGTCTGTGGCATAAAATCATAGCAGGTAACAACATAAAAAAAGAAGGCAGCATGACTAACAGGTTTGATTTTCTTAGTCTCAAGAAATACTCCCTTCTGAAACCAGAAAAAAGTTGAATTTTCTTTATTGCCATCTACAGCTAACAGGAAAATACATCTTTCTAAATCAGTACTATATGTAAAGGATCTCTGGAATCAGTTTAAACAGATGGGACTTGCAGTAATCTCAGCCTATGCTCAACACAATTTCCACCTGCATCAAAAGTTCTCCTTAGTCACAGAAGCCTAAACAGAAAAAAACGCAGTGAAGGACTGCGTCAGCTGTGGGTCACTGAGATGCCTTTGAAGATTTTTGTGAAAAGAATGAAAGAAAAGCAACACAGTTGCAGGAACTGCTGCTGCTTCCTCCTCCAAGGCTGAACTGCAACTTTTTAGTATGTATATGTACATACATATACAAAAAGGAGTCATAAAAAACTTAAATAAGCAGATTCCACAGATGACAGAACCAGAAAGTAAACAGCTATGAGCCTGAAGCACCTGTAGCCCGTGATTATGAAAGAAAGGTGAAGAGATGACGTTTCCATTGACGACAACCTTGAAATGCTGTGGAGGCCAGAAGGAGTTGGAGCTACAGGATGTGACAAAGCTTTAATAAATCAGCAAGAATAGACAACTTCCAGAACTACATATCTGTTCCATAAAGGTGGTAATGTTGAGGCTGGAGAAGTCTCAGGCATCCTTTAGCACCTCCACAGCAGAAAGCGGACATGAGTGGCCATCAAGGTTTGTTCCACAGAGCCACAAAGCCTCAAGATGAGTAGAGTAAGATGCCCTAAGTGGACTCCTCAAAGAGCCACAGAGCATGGTTCTCTGCGGAGTGGGGCTTCACTCTGGAGAACCACGGCCTATGGCTGTGTGGAGCTTCACTCCACAGAGGTCGTCTTTGAACTCAGCGTTCTGTCCTGTAACAAGTGTGCTTTATTCACACCCCCTGCTCACATACATTTCTCTAACATGACTGCTGTCAGCTAGGATATGGGGCTAGTCTGGATAATGTCATGGGAAACTCCTGTCTTCAGGAAAAGACTGACTCAGCTGGCTTAAGAAACATACTTGGCACCTACCCTCATGCTCCTTATAAGACTGGGAGATGCAGGATTTGTAAATGCTGCACAGAAATGTGAGGCCCACTTAGATAATACAGACATGTAACATCTCCATCCGTTAAGCAAGCTTGTTACTGGACAAACTAGTTCAATTACTGGAAAGCAAAGAATGGTGATGGGAAAAAACACTGAAAGTGTTTTTCTAACGTGCAGTACCAGTAAAACAAAGTAAAAACTGTGGCTACTAAAAAGAAAAACAGATAACAAGCCTTGCTGAGCAATGCTGTCATATGGAAAATGCTAAAAAAGTCTGAGGGTCAGCCCAAGAAAAGAAAGCTTGATACGAAAAATATCAACTAATTAAGCTAGGAAGAATATAGTTATACGTAGTGGAAAAAAATCTGTACATTAGGCAGACTACTGGGCCTGAAAAAAACGTTTCTTGGTAAACAGCAAGAGAAAAAAGTAGAGAAGCGTAGAGAAGTGGTTGAGAACAACTAGAAGGCTGGAAATCACATTTCTACCTCCTAGACCCCTTGCGTGAAGGGCATAAGGGATTACATATTTGCTATAAAATATTAAGGCAAAACTCCTTCTCGGTCAAGTACCTGAGCAGTATGTACAAACACTCTATAGACGTATGTACGGATAACCATTCAGAGAAAAATGTGGTCAACATTGCACAGATTAGCCAGCCAAACATCTAAATTTTCAAAATTCTGGCAATAGGCATGCTAACAGAATAAAAAGAGGGAAGACAGATGCACACATGAACATTTCTCTGTATATTCTCCAGAGCTGAAAGGAGAAGGTATAAGACGAGGAACGACGAAAGCACTATATTGGTAGCACGCTTAGATTTTGTGAAATAGCTCTACCTTGCCCTTATTCTCTGCATGACTTCATTTTATTTTTTAAGTTTCACCATATAGGAAAAGGAAGAAAAGATAATTTTTAAATTTAAGTATCTCCTTAACTACTGAATTTTTTAGATAAACCGATACAACAGTTCAGTATTTATTCTGTTATTTCCCCTCCCTCCTTCCCTATTTCCATATTTTTACTGCAGAGCTTGTAAAAGTCAGTATGTAAACAACACTTTTACATAAACAAATATTTATACTTAAAAAAATACTATTAACAACACATCAGCTATTCTTATACTGTATAGTGATGCTCACACTTCAAGTTAAAGGAGCTCCACAAATAAATAATAATAATAAAAAAAAAATACTAAGAATCAATTTCAAGAAATAAGTAACTGCCCTTACAAATTCTTTTAGGTGGTACTTCCTGACAAATACTGATATCAAGCATGAGCTGTATCATGGCAGTGTTGATGCCACCCTATGGGTATCTTTTCAATTTATTAGGAAGTCTGAAAAATCACATTAGAGAAGCAATACATTATCAAAATAATCAAAACATTAGTTATATCTTACTGACATGCAAATGCCTGATGCATCTCATCTGGCATGTACATGTTAGTTCAAATTTCCTATTTTCTATGCAGTTCACATAAGAGAACGTTACATGAGTAGGCTCATGAAAAAATTACTCTGACAAAAATCCCAAATTGAAAGAATCAATTATTAATAAAAATGCCATACCTAAGGCATGGTATAATTCCACTTAATTATATATTTTTCTGAGTATGCACAAGAACCATCAAAAAAAGCTGTCACTTCAGCAGTAAACAGTTGATAACATTTCTGATTGGATCTTAATTTTATAGCTGGAACGAACCAAGACGCTGTAAGTCTACGAATATGAACGTAGATTTCCCCATTCAAAGGTTATAATTAGTAAGCATCATCTTTATACTGCTTTAAAGCCTACTATATGAAAAAATCTTGGCAAGGGTTTTGGCCCTTGTTTTTATCTTTGACAACTAATTTCACAATCCTCTGACAGTTTAAGGAGTAACGGAAGTCATTCTGGTCTAATACATACCTCTGAGGTATACGGTTGATGACTAGTCCTTACTAGCCATGTGAAAAGGTACAGATCTACAGTACAAAATTTACCTCTACAGATCTACTAAGGAATTTCACAATAGATCAATTTTAATACAGTACATGATTTGTGGATTCCATCAACGAGTCACCTCTTCATTTCACCAATACAATTGCTATCTCCAGACGTTCTGTTTTACAGCACCAGAGGCCTTTATAAGCTGATTTCACATTCACAAAGACAGACTAACAGGCACATACCTGGCACATACTTTACCTATGAATAATTATACAAAACAAGGTCCCTTACAGCTTTCAGTTCTGCAAAAATACTGCAGTCATGAATTAAACATCACCTTCCAAAGTTCTCTGGTTTGTGCCTGCTCTGGCAAGGTTTCTGGAAACACCGATCAGCCTGAATAGCTTTACATTACCTCCAACCTTAGGCCCACCAGCTGAACCAGGCTTTCTTGCACTGTTTGAAGGATTTCCTGGCTTTTTAGGTGCAGGAACCTTGAAGGCTGAAGCAGCTGATGATGGCCTATTTCCATCCACCGACTCTTCATCATCAAAGCTTTTATCTAGAAAGGGATACATTAATAAATATATAACTATTAGAACAGATGCACATTTATTTTCTAATCAATTATTCTGCTTCACATTCCACAGAAATTGACAAAATGAATAAATAAAAAAAAAATATGAATCATTTTGTCCTCTGCCTGTGACCTGGGAATAAAATGACAACCAGAAATGAATAACATTTTTTACTTTGTATGATCTTATAAAATAAGAGCTCTGCCTTCATAATTAGCCACTGTGAAATTAAACATAAAAATGAATCCTACACATTCATCCCCACAAAGGGGAAATATCTTTGCACAGATTGAATATTTTTGCCCATTTCTGAATATTTTCCTCAAAGGAAAGCCCTTAATATGATTTGCAGTCATTCCAGTCTACCAAAGATAAACGCTTCTCCCTTTTCTTCTACTCATGCATGCATTTTCTGCTACACATCCTCCCACAATGTGTCTACCAGCACTCCCTGTCTCTTTCCTTCCACCCAGATTTTGCAACTTACAATCACAGATCCGCTTGCAGATCAGCCGCCTCATTCCTCTGATAGCTCTAAAATCCCCTCACCCTAGGATGGACCCAGCACCTCACATGGCCACACGCAGTAAATTCTCAATACTAATCAAAGATTCTATCAAAAACTGCTAGCAAGCACCATAGATCCACCACTGAGATTTGTGCCGGCATCTTTCTCTCTCTCCCCTGCGCTAGGTGCCGACGCAGCCAATGAGCTGCAAGGTGACATCATCTTGTGGGAGCCACGGCCAGAGGGAAAGGTGAAAATTCTTCATGCAAATAAATTCATTCCCACGCAGGGTATTTGCCATAATTTCAATCCTTCATTAACAAAATATTACGGGCAGAAAATACTTTCATGTTTGCACTCCTCTTTGCTACAATTCAAGGTTTGTGCATTTTTAAAATCAAGAAAGAAATTCATCTCTAGTGCCTAGTTAAAATATCCTCATTACAAAATATTCAGCTTAAAAAAAAACAAAACACTGTATTCCAACAGTAGACTGTAACTGCTATTCAGTCCAAGAAGAAAGATTTCTCTACCTATAAGCTTGAGCATAAAAAAAAAAATTCAGCTCGTGGTTCCTATCATAAATAAAATGGGTGAGGCCGAGACACAGCTGCGCTACAGTAATAAAGACCAATTTAGCATATCTCCTTCCCTAAAATCTGTCATTTCTAAAATAAATAAATAGAATAAAATTAATTGCAGACCTTGGTCATCTCAGGAATGGTGGCTCTTTATTTTCCCTGTGCTTATTCAGAACTTGTTCCCAATAAAATGTCAACTATATTTAATAACATAGCCTCCCAAAGGAAAGAAGCTTTCATTAAAATGTTAAAGCAAGGTTATTTTTCCAACAGCATTTACAGCAACTTCAAACATTAAACCGCCCCACAGTTAACATGACAGACATCGGTGTTATAGTTAATAAATTTCTCTAGCAGTAGCAAAAAGCTGGGTGTTGCACTAACAAATCTTTGTGAATTAAAAAGGAAACAAAAATCACAAGAAACATCCAGGTGTTTATCGACCATTTTTGTCAATATTATTTCCTTCCCTCACAAACACCAATTTTTAAGAGAACATTACTAAAAATAACTGTGTTTGGATACGCAAACTCTCAGAATCCAGGAAAAGGCATCGAGCCCCCCCCTCTCCTAGTCTGTATGTTGCCATGGAAACAGTACTCTATCGCAGCAAAAGAGCTGGGGAGAATACATTGAGATTCCTACTGCTTTCACTCCTAGTGCCTTAAAAATATAACCAGACATCAAGATTTTTGAACAGGGAAAACCACGAATCTGAACACAACATGAAGCTTAATAATCTAAACATCACAGAAGAAATGTAAGTAGGAGTGGTTAATAACTAGAGTATAATGTTACAGGTAATTTTAAAACAGCATTAAGGCAGATTTTTAAATGGCATGAATAGATCAACAGTGTCACATGAATATATTATCACAAAAATATGCTTTTCAAATTAATAAAAACATATTTTGCTGCTGCATCTTTTTCAGTTTTGTTAATGAAACAGGCTACACTTTCACGTTGCTATCCAATAGCACTATAATGCAGCATTTGATATGCAAACACTGCATAAGAAGCCTTTGAAAAAATAAAGGTATTTATAGCACAATTTTAAAGGTAGCGTTTCTAATGTTCATTTGTGCAAAAAATTCCTAAGAAAAAACCCACCCCCCCAAAATCCCAAACAACAGTACGCTTTGTGATCTAAAGGGGCCACATACAAATTAATAGTTTTCTGATCAAACTATTCCTTATGAAGGAAGACTCAAAGGAGAGAATTGTAGAAGTTTCTGCTCAGCTGAAAAATGCTCAAATAGAATTTTAATAAAGCACAAAACTAAACATTTCCTTAGCTCCTGAGATTTTGTGTGCATTCTAGGACAACATATTAAACAATGGTTTGAGTAATACTATCAAATTATTTTGCCTAAAGTCTAGACTTTTTCATAAACCAGGAACACTGTCAACACTGGATTAAAAACCTGTGGTATGAAATAGTTTTCTAGTTTCCTAGTCCACAAAAAATTTAGCTTTCAAAAATCAATTGTAGCTGGGTTTTTTTTAAAAATGCATTTACAAGTATTTGAGAGAGGAGACCATAAACATCTCATTCCAACGTATAAAACTGATATTAATAAGCACCAATGCCATGATTTATCTATCGAAAAATTTTTTAAAAAATGAAGAGCTAGTCACTGGAAGTATTCCAAAATTACTGCATAATCCCATAAATGTATGAAATTAATGGATGAAAAGGACTTATTTTAATCCTAACTTTTCAGGCCAATGTGATAACACAGTTAGGAGTCCATAAAACAGAGCAGGAAGATTTTGTGCCATCTTTTACAGGAACTGGAGATTTTCTCCACCCTACGGTACCTTTACATGTGCATTTCCCTGGGATTTGTTAACAACAGAATCTCAGTTGATCTTCAGGGACATTTCATTTTCAGAAAGATGAATAACAGTATCTGTGAAAATCTGAAACCTGAAGTCTGTATTTACAAAAGTTCATGAAAAAAGTATTATTTGCTTCAATTACTGTGTGCTTTCCATGTGTTCTCACTCGTGTGCACTTTACATTGGTTTTAATCTTTTATAAATATAAAAGCATTTCCATTTCAGTACGCAGAACTCCACTTTGAAATATAATTGTTATTCCACAGGGTATAATCAAGGTGCGATTCCACTAAAGCCAACTGAGCTGAACTTGTTTACAGCAGCCTTTATTTAGCCTACAGAGCACAGCTGAAGCTGCTGACTTTGAATGTTGAGAAGTGTGTTATGATTGCTGTATTGTCAGGATCAAACTAGAATGAAAATGTTAGTTTTGTGTAGTTTGCAAGTGAAATCTATTTCTATAACACAAGTCATGACAGCTAAATATAATTGATGTTTTCAAGTAAAACCTATCCGAAGAATGTAAACATTTTCATTTTGGATTGGCTTTGAGTCAAATAACTAAAAGTAATTTTAAAAATATTAAAATAGTTTTAAAGGCCATACACTTTCAGCATATTAAATTTGACACTTGTAAATGTACCTTACAGCTGAGAAAACACTACCCAAAAACAAGTTACAAGTTTCCAAGTTACCAAAAACTGGAACAAAGGAAGCCACAAAAATTGCTAGCAATATACAGAATATTTAAAAACAAACAAACAAACAAAATCCATACAATTAATGAAAGACTCAATCTCAGTTAAATCCCACACATCTGTGCTCCTAGAAAGCTAGAAAGGCAAGATTCAAGTTCCAAGCATTACAAGGTTTATCTTCTGTCCAGTAGAGAAAAAAAGATCTGCATGGTAGATCAGTATTCTGCAGGTAGTATACAGCAAGTTATTTGACACCTATAAGGTGCTGCACTTTTCTACAAAAGAAATTTCAGGAAGTCAATAGCAAAGAACAACAATGTTTGAAATTTTGCTATAGTTAAAAAGACATACATCAGGCCCTAGAGTTAATCAAAGTTTCATAGCCTGGAGCTTACCAAAATTATTCTAAGGTTAAACCTAGACACAGCTGTCCAATTAGAAATACTGATTGAAACACAGACCAAAATTTTGAACCACAGCAAAGATTTTTGAACTAAAAGCAACTAAAAGCATTAACAGATCAGTGATACCTTTCTGTCTTGTTGCACAGCTCTCGGAGGCCAGATTAGAAATACATAATATTTGTTTTTAAAGGTATTCAGACATATCAAAGGACAAGTAATTACAACCAATCTTGATGTTAAAAGAACATTCCCACACCCCCAATTTTAAAAACTGCTACACAATCTATGGAACAATAAGGGTAATTACAAGTGTATCCAGGGTCATAAAAGAATCTACAGCTTTTCTTATCTAGAGAGAAAAATATTTTATTGCTAAAGAAAATTGAAGATATGCTTATTGCTACCACAACTCCATCCTTTAGTTAGTCTTAACATTCATAAAATTAACATGACATTTGATATTTAACATTTTGTAAGTTACAATCAATGACAGAGGATAAAAAAATACAGTAGTGAAATAGAACATCTGTATTCTACTGGTGCTGCTCAGAAAAAAACAATTAGAAGATAACTGATCTTATGCACATCCCTAAGTAACACTATGGGGGGGGGGGGAAAGGATCACATGTAAGCAACACTGAACAGAAGCCAAGTTTAAAGGCAAAGAAAAGGCTATGCCAGTATCAGGATCTAACATATCTAACGGTACTAGGGTCCTAAATACCAACATGCAGTATTCTACAGTAGATTTACAGTAGTCAAATCAAAGGATATAATATTTTACCAAAACTGCTTCTAAACTTTGACTTCTAACAAAATGTACCCTTGCTATATCCATTTTCCTTTCCAGTAATGCTAACACATACTACACGTTTTTTGAACTGTTGCTAACAGTTCCTCTTTTTCACCACAAACTATTCATAGACAAGACACTACTGCAAAACTCTGCCT